TTGAACATTAAAACTTAAAATCTTATTTTTGAAGTTGAATCTTGAAAAGTAGGGATCCATGTAATTTCCACTATTTTCAACAATAGATACCAACGCTTGTTATAAAAATTAATATCATCATCGAAGAGCTTTTTTCACAGTAGTGATTACTCAAGTTTTAACTGTTACACTAATGGTTATTTGTCTGGAACACAATATATCCTTCATATAAAAAAATCATGTAACCATTAGAAAAATATGTCCTTAAATTTATAAACAAGTGACTGTTGGTGTAATCATTAAAAAATAATGTGACTCGAGTTTCTAATTGTTACAATCTATTTCTCGTATGAAAGTAACATTTCATCTATGTTTTCACAAGAATGTGACGGTTAAAGTCCTTTTATCGATATCCCAAATCAAATACGCTCTTCAACTTTATTTTTTCCCAGCTTACTTTTTAATTAAATTTTAATATTTTGCTATCTATATATAATTTTGCCCGACTAATAAATTTAAGGAGAACCAACAATCACTCAGTCAAAGAAGAAATCATAGAGGAAGATGACTTTTTGTTGTCGAAGAGCATCCAGAATAATCTATGTTCTAAAGGGTATAAAACTTGTAAAATGGCAATGTCGAATCTTAAACCTTGCGAGCCTTGGCGTACATAGACGAAATATGGCATTTTGTTACATTAATATTAATTTGATTGTCTTATGATAGTTAGTAAATAAAATAATGCATACTAAGCAACTATATTATAAATACTATGATTACTCATTAGTTTCTACAACTAGACGATTTTCAAGTTTTCAAAACATAGACAATTAAAAATCGTGTTGATGAGCACAAGAAATCATCAACTAGTTTAGCCTCCGTCCGGGAGCAAATATTATCGAATTTTAATCAAAAAATTAGCCGTTATATAGAATATGGGCATAGTTATAAAATCCAACCTAGACCAGTCGATCGGACTTGGAAGATTAATTTAATAGAAATACATATGACTCGGTCAAAAATCGGCTTTGAACAAGTTAATTGGCGATTTTGACCGAGTTAACCCGGCCGGTTTACCAATTTTCAAAATTGCCTTTTAAAATTTT